TATTTAAGCAGAAGTCTTATAAAGGTCTACAGAGCAGTATGTGGTTGCCTAATACTAATAACATATTTATGTAGCGCTATAAGGTTTACAAATCACTTTCCTTGAGACAACCATATAAAGGAAATAGGGAAAATCTTTCCTATAATTTAAAAATAAAGAAATTGAGATCCAGAGAGGTTTTCTGATTTGCCTCTGGTCACACAGCTTTGTATGTTCAAGTGCCAGAGAAGGGATTCACAACCAGGTCTGACTCCATTCACTTTGCTGCCCCCTCTTAGAAGAGTAGAAGACAGCCTTGGAAGGCAAGTAAGTCACAAAATCATTCTCAGAGAGGAAGCTACCGCCTTGAGCCTAGTGACATAATGCAAAGCTCACAGGAAGTTCAGCTTATCTTTGTGATGTGGGGGAGAGACAAGTGGATAAGGTTCTTGCAACCACAGTCAAAAGTCACTGGATTGCCTGCCTGGGGGTGGGAAGCAGCCTCTCTCCAGGGCAGGGGGATCCCAGCTAGGTCCCTAAGCCTCGGACTGGTGATTTCAAGCTACACCTATGGTTCCTGTCCCGAGGAGCTGAAGTGGACTTGGGACAAATAGAGGAAGAAAGCTTGGAGGATTTTATTGGGGTCAGCCAGGACTGAGACCAGGGATGGAGGGGCTCACAGCCTAGACACTGTACTCTGGGTGAAGCCGTGGATTTGGGAGGTGTGCCCAGGCCGTAGCTTCTACTTTCTCTCCTGGGCTACCTCCACCTTGGATCCAAGACTCTTTTGGAGTCTTGAAGAAGTAGCCCTATATTATGCCCCCAGAATCCAAGAAATGGAGTCCCTTACTCAGAGAGAAAACCGTCCTCTTCCTCAAGAGACTCTTCTCCTGAGGAAGTTAAAGGTCAATAGCAGGGACCCCAAGGGCCCCACTGAGGAGAGACCTCAGTAAAGGGGACGTTTTCAGGTTGGGGCTTATCTCACCATCTAGGGTTAGGAACCTTCTCTACTTCAAGGGAACCATTAAGAGCCTTAGAAATGTGACCTCTTCAGAGAATTGCCACAATTTCTTCTGAGGGCCAGAGGAGAGTTTAAAGGTTTCCAATCCCAGTGGATTGTGACTTCTTAAAGGGTCTCTGACTATGGAATTGGAGAGGGGTGGAGGGGGAACAGAGGAAGTAGAATGAGATATTATAGGAAGGAGACTTTTCTTGACCAATATTTCTCTTCACAGGCCATTTATCTCCAATGACAAATGCCACATCAGAGTTTAGAATGTTGACTCTCGCTCTCTCTCTCCTGATAAAAAACTTCTTGAGGGTAGGGAATGTTTAAATTCTGTCTTTGTATCTCCTCTGTTTAGTGCCGAGCCTGGCAAATAGTAAGTAAGCAGGTGCTTTCCTCATCTGTCAAAGTGGGTAGCATAGATAGAGTGCTGGGCTTGGAATCAGGAAGACTGAGTTCCTGGTTCAAATCTGGCCTCAGACACTTAGTAGCTATGTGACCCTGGGCAAGTCACTTAGCCCTGTTTGCCTCAGTTTCCTCATCTCTAAAATGAGCTAGAGAAGGAAATGGCAAACCACTCCAGTATCTTTGCCAAGAAAATCTCAAATGGAGTCATGAAGAATCAGACAGGACCGAAAATGACTGAACAATAACAACAATATAGAACTTAAGGCAGGTCTACTGTTCCAGTAATTTCCCAGCAGCCATTGACAGGGTGGAGGTAGTGGGGTGTCTCCAGGGCCACTACCAGCCCACCTCCCCAGATCAGCATTTTGGGGTTCTCTCAATGTAAGTCAATCCTAAAGATGATCCACAGTCAGATTAATTTGAGGAACACTGGCTCTGGATAGCCCTGGGCTCTTAACAAATGTCTGTCCTTTGTTTGAGAAACCAGATGGAAAGAACTCTGGGCTGGGAATTAGGAGACTTGGTGTCCAGCCTCACCTGGAACACTCGGTAGCTGTGGGCCCTTCAGCTCAATTGAAGGGGCATTTATTTAGTGCTCTTCTGCCCTCAAGGAGCTTACCTTCTATGGCAGGACAATGACATGTCCACAGATCAGGAATATATAAAATATATGCGAACTAACTACCAGTAAGGAATTGCTATCAACATGGCAGGATCCAGAAAAGTTTAATGTGGGCTGATGTTGGAGTTGAACCTTGAGTGGAGGTAGAGATTTCGAGAAGTGAGGAGGGAGGGCATGTCAGGCATGGGACAGCCTAAGCAAAAGCCTGGAGGTTGGATCTTAGGCCAAATAGTTCATTTCTCTGAGCTTGCTTCCTGATTTCTAAAAGCTGGGGAGTAATGTTTGTATCATGTCTCCCGGGAGCCATGGACTTTGTAAATCTTTGAGCTCTTTGGAAATATGAATTGCCAATGGTTGGACTTAATATTAGGAGATATACATTTTAGTCCTGACTCTTCCTCAAATACACTTTATGGTCTTAAATTCCTTCATCTTTCTTGGGTTTCAGTTCTTTTAATTGGGCTAGATGGTCTTTTAAGGCTTGTTCCTTTGAGGTCTGGTAGCTTATGATTAAACCCAGAGAGGAGAACCATAGGAGCATTGGATTTTGAGCAGGAAGGGGCTTGGGAGGCCCTGTAGGACAGGCCCTTCATTTTATAGATTAGCACACTGAAGGTAGAGAGTTGAATCGACATTTTTCCCAAGGTCCTGCAAGCAGGAAGTGTCCTAGCTGGGATTTGAACTAAGCCCAGCCTTCTGTCCATCAACTCGTGCTGAGTGAAGGGAACTTCATTATTTGACGTGGTGTGAGTTTGAAAGGCCTAGGTGTTCCCAAGCAAGTCTTCCTTTTCTTTCCCTCCCTTCCCCCAACCCCAAGTGGAGGCCAGCAGTGGAAGTCTGACCCTTAAAGGCGATAAGAAATTTAGTTGTGTGGTTTGGCCCCTTCTGCCTATCTCTCCCCACCCCCAACCCTGACCACATCCTTCTCCTATTTGTGCCTGTCAGAGAGTTCTCATTCCCACCCAAGGTTGGGGGAAATCAGTCTGACACCTGGATCCTGGTCTTTCACCCAGAAATCAATAGCCGAGCCTTTTATGGGAACTTAGCCCCAGATAACAGGAAAGCGGGTTTTAAAAGAAAAAAAAAGTCCCATCAGCCCCTTGGTGCAAAGGCAGCTGGATCCCAATCTTTTGATAATCTGAGCTGATAAGAGGCTGCTAGACAGAGACAGTCCAGGCTGCTAAGAGCCCTTGAACTGACCGTGCCAATTCTAACCCTCCTGCCCTCTGTACTCACCAAATGGGGGAGGGACTTAATACACACAGCTCTCGGGCCGCCTGGTGTGTATGGGGGTGACATAGGTGTACAGTGGATCTGCCAGCAATATGTTTTCTGTTTTCCTTTCTTTCCCAAGCAGTGGGGATAGATTTCTACCAAGCCATCCCCATTCTCTTGACTAGTCTCCTCTCCATTGTGACCAAGGACACACAGTTTTCAGATGACTTGTCAGGGCTAGGAATATCTCCCGTGGCTGGGAAACAAATGGAATCATATCAGCCCCAACGAGAATGGAACTTCCAACCTTGATTTTCTCAACATTCTTCTCCAATCTAGGATCTTAAGAGTTGGAAGAGACCTAAAATGGTCATCTGAACCTCATTTTACAGATGAGAAAACTAAAGCCTGGGGAGGGAAAGAGACTTGTCCAAGGTCACCTAGGGATCAAGTGACCGAGCCAGCTTTTGGAACCGGTCTTCTTTCCAGCCCTTCCAATAATGCCTGTCTATGGACCATCTCAAAGGATTGACTCCCTTCCACATCTCAAGCCATGCCCTCACCTCAGAGGGGACTTTGGAGAGGCAAAGAATCGGGGAAAGAAAGGGGTTGGAATTTGGTGGTGGGAGCTAACAGCTTGTCAAAGGGCAAGTGGTTCATTGCTGGTAGACTTTGACCCTGGCTGGTTTAAAAGGGAAGCAGGAGGCTCTTTATCTGATTTCAGAGCTGATGTAGAGCAGAGGCAGATAGGGAAAGGGGGGAGTGAGTGATGGGGGTGGGGACAGCTGCTTAGGGAGCTGGGAAAGGCAGTCTGAGTTGCACCTGGTACTAGCCTGTTTTGATAAAAAGTTGATAGGGTCGATAACGTTGAGCGGCTGCAGTAACCACTGCTCTTGTGGGCACATAGGAAAGCTTTCACTGAGATGGATAAAAATCAATATGCCATCCACTTTGATTTATAGCCAAAAATAATAGGACTTTTATATGGCATGATTGATTTATTTGATGTTAATCATCAGGCTTATCGCTGGTATTAATAATCAGAAATGCTCATGACGTCACCTCTGGGCGTACTTTCTGGGTGCCCATCGATTGGGGCCACTGTGGTTATCAACCCCACGATGTAAAGGCAAACATGTACTTTGCGCACTAATCTGTCCCACTGTCATATGCACATAGGCTTATCGGCAGCATCTCCAACAGCAGTTAATAAGAGAAAAATAATTGTTATCAAGTTGCTAGGCATACACCACATACAGAGCAAGGCCCAGGAGCTGTGTTTAGAGAGGCGTCCGCCAGGTCCCTGGGTGAGGCGGGAGGGGCGATTCCTCTGCTTGTTATAATTATTAACAGCAACCGTCATAATTATTATTATTACTGCTGTGAATCAAAGAGGCCGCAAAGTTTTCAAGCACCAGGCAAAAAATGGAGGTAGTCTTGTGACTGCTGTGTTCATCCCCTCCTCCCTCCTTCCCCCTTGGGCTTCTTCCAAAGACTCAGCCTGACCAGTCTTCTCCCTTCTTTCCTGGTGGCACGTAGGAGCTGGCCGTTGAATTGAGGCCTGAAGGATCATAAATCTGGAGTTGGAATCCCCCGTTTGCAAAAGGGCATGGTGATGACATCCTATGGGGGGGCGGGAGCGGGGAGGTCCAGGGTAAGTGGTGGGGGGAGATTCTTGAAGATGATGAGGGAATGTTGCTGAAAGGCCCTGCGCCCACCTCACCCCTCATTTCAGGAGCAAGAAAAGTGACTGTGCTTTTACCTCAACAGAAACAGAGACTCAGGAAGGCCCAGAAGGCCTCAAGGAGCTGGAGGAGCAAGAGTTTGACCGAGGTCCGGAAGAGGCGAGCCCGTGGAATGGGCCAGGTAACCAGACCTGTGACCTTCATGTCTCCCTCTCCCATCCCCTCCCCATCATCCCTCCATCTAGCGAGAGCCTGTGTTGGTACAGGGCAGTGCCCAGCAAGAGTCTGATATCTGATGGTGGGACGGGCTGAGAAGACCTTTGTCTCCTCCAAGCATTGCGGGATTTGAGACCCCCCCTATTCTTAGTCTGGTCCTTGTGGAACTCATTCTCCACGGTGTTTTCTCTTCCTCTTTCCTCTTCCCATCCCACCCTTGCTTTTGGCCTTCTTCTTTGCCCGGTTTTCCTCTCCCTCTCCTTCCTTTCTCTTAGTTCAGGGGTTTTTAGCCTTTTTGTTGTGACATGGACCCCCTTGGCAATTTGATGAAACCCAGGGCCCCCTGCTCAGAATGATGTTTTGAAATGCATAAAATAAAATACTTAGATTATAAAGAAAACCAATTAAAATGAAATAAAGATGCAATTTTCCCCAATCCAAGTTCACAACCCCCCTGAAAACTAGTCATGGACCTTGGTACAGACCCCAGGTAAAGAATCTCTGTCTAGTATCTCCCTTCCTCTCTTTTCTCTCCCCCCCACCCCCACCATCTTTGTCTTTCTCTGTCTGTCTGTCTCTTCCTCTCTCTCATAACTGATACTTCTACCCTTGTTCCTGTCTCCTTCAGTCAGGATCCTTCTTTCTCTTATTCTCTCTTCTTATTATTCAGTGTCCCTCTGTCTCTCTTCCTAGATAGGGTTGGGAGTTAGTCTTTGTACCACAGCAAGAGTTAGATTTCACTATCTGAAACACACCAGTATATCTTCTATAACTTCAGGGAGGTCCAGAACCAGGTACCATGACACGAAGGGTCTTGGAAATGAAGCCCTTGGAGTCTGTCTCTCTCTTAAGACCTAGGATTCCAAGGAAGATACCATGAAGCAAAAACAGTCCTGTCTCTCCAAATGGGAGAAGGAAAATCTGTCTGAGTTGTATCCTGAAGTACAGTTAATTCTAATTAGGAAGGAGAAAAGCCAAGCCCTCACTCAGATGCTCCCAATGGTAGGATGGTCAGACCAGGCTGGCTATGGTATCAACACTCATCCCACTCTAATGGGACTCCTTGGCAGAGTACAGAGAGGTCTGTCTTCATTTTGTTGTGTTTTGGGCACTTTCCTTCCTTTTTTACAAATTTGGAGCCAGAAGGATAGGAGAGGGTAGGCATGATTGAAGAGAGAAGAAAAGGTGGCTATGTATATATAACGTAGTCTGAGATGAAGGGGTGGATGGATGGATAGAAGATTAGACATATAGAAGTTTATTTGTTCATTTAGTGAATTTTTCCTGTGGACAAAGCCTGGCATCGGGTGCTGTGGAAGATACAGAGATGGACAAGGCATGGTCCTTCCACTCCAGGAATTTGTCATCTGATGGAGGAGGGTAGTAAGATAAGGGGGTGAAATAAGACCTACACATTAAAAAAAAAAAAGTAAGAAGACCTACACACAAATAGCAAATGAATATTGGTATAGTGGAAAGAATGCTAGATTTTTGAGTAAAAGGACACTGATTTAAATCCTGACTCTGGCACTCATTACTTAGAAAATTTTGGGCAAATCACTTAAATGTGGGCCTCAGTTTACTCCTATATAAAATAAAGGGGTCAGATTAGATGACCTCTAAGTTCCTTCTTTTTCAAAAATTGAGAGCCCAGGGTAGGGGTGTTCTGAAGAGATTAAGAGATACAGTGCTGGGTGCTACAGATATCAATGGTATCATCCTCAATTAATTTAAATGTAAAGAAAATAAAAGGAAACGCCTTCGAAGAATGGGTGACAGAACATGGGCTGAGTAAGTTTGGGCTACACTTAGATTTCTGAACCCATTTTTTCTTCGTGTCTATGTCTGGAAGGGGCTTAGATCTGTAGAGATATTTCATCAGTTGGAGGGATTTGAGCAAGGGTCTTTTTGAAAGAGGCATTGGTTGGAGGAAATGAGATGGGTTATTTCACATTGCCTGGGGCAGAGACTAAGGCCAAATGCTTCTACTCTGTCATGGTTGATGGCATCTCTTTCCTCTGAGAAAGAGCTGGAGCTCTGTGGCTTTGATCAGGGCTGGTTCTTGAGGACCATAGTAGCTTTGGGGCACTGGGGAAGCCCAGAGGAAGATAATCGGAAGGAACCCGGTCGTGCCTCCCACAGCTAGATGCCTGGCTCGCTCTGATGACACACTGTGTCCATGCAGTTGGCTGGATTAGGCCTGGGGCAACCTTTGTTCTGGGTCCTATTGTATGGGGGGGAAACACGCTTCTGTCTATATTGTGTTAGTACTTCAGGAATGCATGATTGCATCCATATGTGTTAGTCAATCAACAAACATTTATTAAATGTCTGCTTTGTGCCAGGTGCTGGGCCCAGTGAACTAAGACAAAAATGAACCAGCCCCTGTCCTCAGGGTGCTTATATTTTCTCTCAAGGGAGTTTTGTAAACCTTAAAGCATTATATACATAATTGCTGTTATTATTAAGTGATTGATTGATTAGCATGATGGTTGTTGTGAATGAAGGATGAAAAATCATTTCCCCAGTGACCAACTCAGGGATGAAGTTTTCCAGATTTAGCTAGGGTGGTCCCAAGATGGTGGACACAGAACCCAGTGTACTACTGAGCTCAGGTAGGACCTCATGGAATGCTCATTTCTCTGGCATAATCTTGAGGACCCAAGGTTACCACCATACCATGACAGAGTAAGACTGTAGTGGAGAAAATGTACCCATTATAGGATAGTAAATCTGTATCCAAAATACCCAGCCCCAATGGAGAGATACTCAAAGTCAGAACAAAGAGGGCATGAGGTAACCTTGTAGAGGGGTCTAGAAAAAGATAAGTGGTTTAGGTTCCTTGGAGAAACCCAAGTGTGGCTAGAAATACTTTGGGGGGCTCCTGATAACTTAGGACAGTAGCCCCCAAAAGGGCCTTGGTATAGTTTGCATTCCTGGGTTCTCTTATTCATCAGATCACACAGCTGTAAGAGAGAGGACATTTAGTCCTGTCCCTCATTTTTTCAGATAAGGAAATGGGCCTAGAGGTTAAATGATTTGTCTGAGGTCGGTCACCCAGATAAGCATCAAAGACAGGACTTGGACCCATGCCCTCTGTCTTCTGAGTCAATCAATGTTCATTGCATTGTGTTATGCTTCCCTCTTGGCTGATGGTTGACAAGGAAGGTAGAGGGTGAAAGAGAGTTAAAACCATGGTGGACAGATGAGGAATAGTGTGTAGTAGTAGTAGTAGTAGTAGTAGTAGTAGTAGCAGCAGCAGCAGCAGCAATAGCAGTAGTAATACTAATAGTAGTAGTTGTAGTAGTAGTAGTAGTAATAATAGTAATAGTAGTAGTAGTAGTAATAAATAATAATAGCAATCCATAGCCTAATATTATACTTTAAGGTTTGCAAATAACTTTGCATCTCTTATCTTATTCAATGTGTGGAAAGAGCTGGAAAGGGAGATCACCGTGTACCCCAGAAAATTCACACCTGTGGGGTAGATTGGAAAGAGATGGCAGATGCCAGTTTTGAGAATGGTCTCTTAGTTTTGGTCATTTTCCCCTCTCTTTGTGAGCACAAGCAGGAATCAATCACATCGTACTTTTCTCCTTTTCCTTTTGAATTTATGGCTACATGGGGATCTCTAGCAATTGTCCAGGCCCAATAAACGGTGCTTGCCAACATGTATGTGCATTGTGGGTCTTACTAAAAGGCCCTGTTATTGTCTCTTCTTGGTCTCCCTTCTCTCCTCTTGGAGCAGGGGTTCCAGGGTCAGACCTGTGAATTCACTAGATAATGGAGAATCTTGTCTTTCGGGTTGGGTCTTAAGAATACCCCATCACCACCACCACCAAGTGACACCATAGTATATATTCCTCCCTCTCATGACTTTGGATCATCAGATGAGATGCCCACTGCAAAGGGGAACAGCTTCCCCTGACATAGGTACCCGGACTATCCTCTGGTCCCCTTGGGAGCTGGGTACCCCAAGTTTGGGTGTAGGTATAGAAAAGCATCCAGAATAACGAAGTATCCTTCTTATTACCATTTTCTGATTCCATCAGTGCCAATAGGCATACGAGGCATCCTGGTAAATTGGTGTTTAGCCCTTCTCCCATCTCGGCCCCCTTGCCTAGACATTTCCTCAGTGATCCTAAGGCACCTCCCCCCTTACTTCAATCTTCTCCAGGAAAGGAAACAGGCTCCAGGCATAACTGATAACACTGGCCCTTCCGGGATGGGCTGACAGGAAATATCTTAGGGCTCCCATGTCTAATCTGCCTGTCTCTCTGCTCCCTCCTTCCCTGCTTCTTAGACCCCAATGACCACTATGGGAGATGGGGGAAGGGGAACATAAGCTGACTCGACAAAACCTTCCCACCTGCCAGGCCATCCAATGGCCAGTCTAACTAACAGCCAGTGTGTCCAGTGGCCCTTCTACCCAACTGCTATTCAAGGGTCAATTGTTCATGGTCTCAATTCTCTGCCTTTAGCCAACCAATTTCAATTTGCTTTTGGTGAACAAGGTAGGCTGGGGTTGTCCCTGAGATTCCAACCATAGATGTGGACATTTAAGGACAAAAGGCCAACAGATCCACCAGCTAATATTCATCAAGTCTACCTTACCCTTTGAGTGAAGCATAATCCCTCCTCTTCCCCATTTACCTTTTTCTCAGAAGGCAATGTCCATCTGGCAATCAGTCATTCAACAAATATTTATTAAGTGACTATTAAGGGGAGCTATGCTAGGTTCTGGAGGTTTCCCAAAGAAACTGTCCTGTCCTCAGGGAGTTTACATTCTATCCATTGAAACAAAATGTTCATAAATACAAAGTAAGTACTAGATAACTTTGAGGGGGAAGGAGTCGGTCTCAACCCTTCCCACCTTATGAACAGTCCCATTGATTTCTGTTCCGTTGACCATATGACTAAGTCCATCTGATATCTGCTTGTGCTCTGGATGTCACTGCTTTTGGT